TTATATAGTTCACAAATTTGATATAAGTATTTGCAAATTTAAATCTATCAATAACTAAAAAGATTTAGGAAATAACAGTTTTTTATCAACAATTTTTTTCATTCAGCAAAATTGAATCAAATTTATATGGTTTACAAATTTAATGTAAGTATTTATAAGTTTGGTTATACTAATGACTTAAACAATTTAAAAAATCACAAGTTTCTATTGGCATATTTTAACTAATTTTATATTATTTATAAGCTTGTTCTAACTATTTGCAAGTCTGGTCTAGCTAATGATTAAAATGATTTAAAAAATTATAACTTTTTAAAAAAATACTAAAGTAAGTTCATATAAAAATTTAATCCAAAAGAAATTTTTTAGTAATTCATTGTTATCATCACATTTTGCAGCACTAAATTATCATTTTCTTATCTTAGAAAGATTTATCTATCTTTTTTCTATATAAAACCCATTCTCACATTTATTTACTATTCTACTATATTAGCTACGTTATCTATATAGGAGGGAAATTATTGTATGAATATAGTGCACTCATTATCCATATTTTATCTAATAAAATATATCATATTTTACTTGTTGAATCAAATAAAAATTTATTTGTCATTATAATAATTTTATTTTTAGAATGTAGTGTTTCTTTAATTTTTTGCTTTTATTTATTTATCATCATTAATGGTAGAATTAATTTTTATTTACAGTTATTTGATATTACATATTTCATTGAACAGAGCATAGAATATAAATGGCATAATGCATCAAGTTTATGCAATTTGTTTATATTGTTATTTTTTTATTTGCAATTTTGTAAATATGCACTAATTTATAAGTGAGATTCATCTATTTTAAAAAATAAAAAGAAAAAATTTTACGAAAAAAAAAATTAACACAGTTGAAGATACAACGACTTCTTCTAGTTTAATGCCCATATTCTTTGATTATCAACTTTGTGGCCAGTAATTTGTAAGTGAAATTGCCTATATATGAAGGTAGAAGAGATAATTTTAATAAATTATAATAGTTTGATACTCATGTTCCTCGATTTACATCTTCGTATCCATTCATTTGAAAGCGAGATTTGTCTATTTATGAAGGGAAAAAAAGAATATTTAACTTGTAAAAAATATTATGACTTCTAATAATTTGATATTCTAATTTCCTGATTTGTAACTTTGTAATATCATTAATTTACAAGTGATGTTCATCATTTAATTGGGAGAAAATATAATTTAGATCTTTATACATTGTTTAAATTTTGTTGTAGGTCTCTTATCAACCTGTCTGTTTGCAACTTCCTTAAAAGAAAGCACTTGAATATCTGATCAATAACAAAACAAGCTTTGTATCCTTGAATGCATGCTAAATCAGGGTGTCAATGACAAAAGATAAAAGCTAACAACCAGGCCTATAAAAAAACTTTTGTTTACTTAAGGATTTAAAATAATATTGAACTAATCATATTTAAAAATTAAGAATTTATAAAAAAATTTAAGCAAAATGTAGAGACTCAAAATTATATTTTCACTTTAATTCGGCATACTACATAAGTTCACTATTTAAGTTAAATTAAATCACTAGAGAAACTTTGTTCTTTATCTTACATTTACAAATGGTTTGATTCTTAAACATGATTAATTCAATATTTTTTTTTCTAATCCTTAAGTATCATTCCCTTAAACTATAACTAAAGAAGCCATAAAAATATTTTAGACTAGAGTATATTTTTATTCCTCTAATCTTATAAAAGATTTCAGTTTAATATCTTAATTTTATAAAATATCTTTTTAGTTTATCAACCTTAACACAGTTAATTTTAAATGATTACTTTTTATGTCAAATTTTTTGAAAAAAATTGAGCTTAATATATCACTATTTAAGAAAATTTTATCAATATTAAAAGATTTAATGTCAAAACTTTTTGTTAATATAACTAACAGTATTAAAATTAAAACATTAAAAAGATAATTTATAAAATTAAGGTATTAAGATAAACCTCATGTTAAGTTAAATAAATAAAATTATACTGGAGACGATATGTTTTTTTTTTTTTGGGAGCAAAACTGTAGACGATATTTTATTTGGCTACTTTTTGGTTTGGACGATCAAACTTTAGCCAGCCAATATGTCGCTGTTCCTTCACCCTCCTTCACATACGGAAAGCGAGGGCCGGGTTCAATCCATGAAAAACTTTTTTTTAAAAAAAATACTTTATTTATTTAAAAATATAAAATATTTTTAGTTGAATCTCATTTTTTAATAAAATTATTATTTATTTTAAAATTAATTTTATATTTTTATATTTATCTCAATTAAACACCCTGTAATAAATATAAAATCATTATTAATATGGGTACTTTTGAAAAAGAAAGCAATAATTACACTTTCAAAACTTAAAAATACATTACATTTTTTAACATTCAACTTATCAAAAAATGATTTACATTTTTGAATGGAAGGAGTATACTTTTTTATGGTGTGTTTAAATTAATATAAATTTAAATTTAAATTTAGATTTGAATTAAATTCTTTATTTGGATATATAAAAAAATTATAAATTAAGATTTGGTTTAAATCTAGATTTATTTTAAATTATAATTTTTTATAATTTTAAATTTTCTTTACAACTTAATCATCTAAAATTCTAATTATTTTAGATATTTTATTCTTTTCATATTTTTATTATTGATATTTCTATAACTTTTATATTTTTTATAATCTCTCGTCAATTGAAAAACAACAATAAACTTGTCATTTTTAATTTTTTTTATTTTTATTTTGCATCTCAATTCATCACTCCTTTTCATTTAAAATTTTTTAAACTATTTAAATAAAATATTTTAAATATATAAATTTTAAATATATGATTTAAAATATAAGATTTTAAATCTAAAATTAAATTCATCAATTCAAATGATACTTTAAAAATTTTTGAGGCATTTGTTTACACTTTAAACAAGTAATCAGAATTTTGAAAAAAAATTCTAATTATTTTAAGAAGCTACTTCTATAATAGATATGTTTTATAAGAAGAAATAAAATTAAATGCAGTAGATATGAAAAAATATTATTGAGAAGCATAAAAAAATGCACAGATGTTAGGTCTAAAAAAAACACTGAACAATAAATTATCTTATATGATTATAATAAAAATGTAATTTCAGCTTAGGTATTTTGAGTTACTAACAAGTATCTTCATAGGTAATCTTATTGATATTAAATCTTAATAATTCATAAATTTTAATATTAAAAATTTAAATCTTAATTTATCACGTTATAAAAAATTAAGGTCCCATTTAGTTATTAAAAATGAATAAAATAGAATAGATTAAAAAAATAAAGGTAAAAATAAAATAATCAAAGGGGATATATGAATAAATTCATAAGAACGATGAGTAATTTCATCATGAAATTAAAAATTATAATTTATGAGATTTTTAAAAAATGTAATGATTTTTATATATATAATATATATTAATAAATTTTATCATACTTATCACGTAATGAAAAATAATTTAATTTATTTTTAATTTTATTCTTTTAATTATTTTATTTTATTTTAATAATCAAATGAGACCAAATTTCTTTACTAAACCAAATCCTTATTAATTAGCTGCAGCTTAGGTTACACGTTGGAAAATAGGTTCCGGCTTTTCATAATGAAAATCACTTTCTTTGCTTAAAGATACGGGCCCTTGCGGCTAAAGTGGGCCTTGGCAATAAATGGCTCTCATAATAATTTATGAATTTTCCCGTGACTTTTCAACTTTCATATTGATATTAATCCATTTTTATCTGATCTATACACGATTATCTATCCAATAATTCGAAAAGTAGAAATCACGTGATTGTGACTTGACTTTCCATTATTTTTAAAGGTAATTTTAATTTTGTTCTTATTTTTCATGTTTTAATTTTGAATTTCAATAAATAACAACCCTATTTATAAATAGTAAATAATATTATTTATTTTTGAATAGCTATTTATAAAAAATTAATGATGATCCAAGTGGTGAAAATGAGGTGACCGGTTTAAATTAAGGAGAATTACAATCGAGTTCTAATGCAATTATTCTAAAAGTAGAAGTCACTTGATTGTGACTTGACTTTTCATTTTTTTCAAAGATAATTTTAATGTTGTTCCTATTTTAAATAATTACAATGGAGTTCTGAATGAAAAAATTAATTATTTTTATTTATAAATCAAACTTATTTTCTTTAAATATAAGGACTGGATTTCGTTGGTATAATCTTCCCAAGGTACCGAGAATAATTGGGCAAATCTCTCCTAATTCAATTGCCACATACACAAAAGATTTGAATTCACATTCATTTACTTTTAAGTTCATCTTATTTAAGACTAAAAATAAATAATTTTTAGATAGTTTAACAATATTTAAAAAATAAATTTACTTTATATATATTTAATTAAAACAAGTATTAATTTATATTTAGTTACAATAATTAAAAAAATATTATTAATTGTATTTAATTTTAAATTTTATGATATTTTGGTTAATTTTTTAATAAAATAATTTATTATTTTAAAATTTCACCGTATCTTTTTGCATTCCATTTCATTAAAATACTCTCATTCATTTATCATATTATATTATCAAAATAAATTTTTAAAATAATAAAAAATTACCTTTTTTAATATTCTAATTATTTTTAAAATTTTAAATAAATATTTTTTTTTTGCCACCAATCAAATATCATGATTGGTATGAATCAAAACTGCTAAACACCACTTTTTTTTGTTTACAAGGAATTGGAACTTTAGAGTAATTAATTATGTTTTTTTTAATTTAAGGCCTGTATCTTCCTATAAATTATCCTAATTAAAAAAAAACTCTATTTGTAGTATCGAAAATTAGAAACCAGCGATATGGGCTAATTTCTTTTTAATTTATTTTCGTTTTTTTAACATTCCAGTTTTAATTTTTAAATTTTTTTACATGTTACTCGATTTCATCGGGTTCGTGTTGAACTGGTGATCCTTGTTTGTTAAGCATCTGACTGCGGAACTAGCTTCCTTGTCCAAAACAACTACCATCTAGTTCCGATTTTCCCAGCAAGAAGATTCTCAATTTATTTATTTTTTATTCACCTTCTTTGATTTTCCGTAAGAGTCGCAGCAGAAGCACGATCACTATGAACACTGAATAGGAGAGTTCTCGAATTTAGTATTTCGTCCGCAAATTTCCGTGTGACAATTTGTTCCTCAGTTTCGGAGCTTCATGCTCTGCTTGCACATGCATTTGCTGGTTCTTCGCGCAGCTTTTTCTATTTTTTGATTTCCTCTGCTTTTGCTTCAACTGGTTTAGGCTTACCAAACTTTCTTCGTTCTTGAATGACCGTTGGGTTTGCGTAGTTGGCTAATCACATTCATCACTCAAGCTTTCAAGCGAACTTAAAGTGTTCAGATACTCAGAAACTGTTGCTTCTGAGCATCCGAGTTTACAGATTATTGGTCGCTTATTGGGTTTTTTATCCTCTTCATTCTCAGCTATATGGTGACTTTGAAGTCCGTTCACAGAGTATTACGGTTTTGGTCCTGTGTGTTTTTCCGAATTTACAAGTTTTGCCGACTTAAAAGTACTAGTGTTGAGAATTGATATTGGGGATTCTCAGCTATATGGTGATTTTGCCGACTTAAGGGAGCAATGAGCTAAATTTTTTTTCCAAAGAGTTAGATAAAGAAGGGTTTTGACAGTCAAGAAAAGAAAGATTTCAGGAAAATGAGCGATGCCGGTTCAGTAACAACGCAAAATAAGTTTCAGGATAAATACATGGATTTGTCATCTTGTATGGAGCCACAGAAGTCGACGGTTATAGAGAACTCTCAAGCAAAAGAACCAGAAGCTAGTTCTTCGCCGCGAAGAGGTTAGTGCTCATTGGCTTTCAGTCCCTAGTTTATTGTCACTCTATCAGACATTTGATCACTCTATCGCCATTGTCATCGGTGTATATATCGTGGTTGTATATGGCGTTTTCAGTCAAAAGGAGCCCTCTGTTACTGATTTGAGACAATGTTTTTCCTCCATGTTTGGCTGAAATACTCTATGCTGACGCCGCAGAAACAACGGTTTGTTGGCTTAGTTTTTATGTTGTTGGCAGAGGCGGACTCTGAAAGACGAGGTTATATTATAAATAAACCATTCAGTGTGGTATCAATGATCTTAATGGTTTATAAGTTGGGGTTAATTCGTGATTAAAAATATGGGGCTAATACTATTTATGGGATTAATGACACATAGAAGTAGTGCTTCATGGCTTTAAATGAGGCCATATTTTTGTGGACTTTACTTGTATACATTTTTGTCCTCACTGTGGAGTTCTGTGGAAGAAGTGACTGAACTACCAAAATTTGAATGTAGACTACGCATATTCAATTCCCACTGCGGTGGTCTACTTTATCGCTTAATTTACTTTCTCAGACTTAGTTCTAATGAAGTTCTTGCTCTTCTTCATCTATTTCATTGGGGAAGGAAACAGACTTGCATTTCGTAGTGAAATACCAAGGAGCGTATCTATTTACCTAGGCCCCCCTCCCTCTACCCAAAAAAAAAAAAGGACCCGGGTCTTTTAAAAGCTTTATGCATTAATTATTGTTTTATTTCATTGGGCCTAGGCAAGCCAACTTTCATACCGTAAAATTTCTCATCCAATTAGGCACTTCTTATACCTATAATATGTATAGTGATCATCCTTGTTGGTGTTTCACAAATTTAAATCTACAAAGTTGGAAATAATTTCGTATCCTTTTTTGAGACCTTGATGGCATAATCTCAGTTTGATTTAAAGAACTGAGCAGTAAGCACAATGCTCACCTTTTACGCTGGGAAAATGCTGTTCATTGTCTCTTATTCTCAATCTAGCTACTGTTGGACAGTTAATTTTGATTTACTTCTTTCATAAAGTTTGTTTTTCTCGTATCGTAATATTGAAGATTGTTCTTGAAGGGTTGAACCATCGCATAACAGCACCTGTTGGAACTGAGAGGAGTCAGCTTATTTATCATAATGAAGTTACGTTTTCTAGATCTTTTACAGAGAAGACAGCGTCTCCAAGGCATAGCTTAATATTGGACAGACTTTTAGAGCGCAAAAAGGTAGACACAAATGTCATCACATGTACATGAGGTTGATATTTATAATTGTGCATTCCACTGAAGTAAATGATACTTGTATTTTTTTTGGCTTTTGATTATACTTCTGGAACAAATTTCATCTTGATATGTTTTGAAGGTTGCTTATGCCTTTCCATCCAGTTATTTTGGTTTTTGGGTTATTTGGAAATGATATTGCACGTTGTTATATTTTTCTTCTTGACCTTGAAGTCTGTATTTGCTGTTTATGCTTTAGAGTTACAAGTTAGGTTGGTCATTACACTTTCTTATTGTGTTCCTCAGAATAAATTGATTGGGAACCTTGTGAAGATACAAAGTGATGGGACTTTCAAAGTGGATTTAGAAAAGAGTGAGCCTGTTGCATCAGAATTGTTAGAACTCCAATCATTTGAAGACTTGGCAGTGAGGGACATTTTTGTTCCTGAATGCACAAAACCAATCCCAAGGTTGCAAATTGCTATACTTGTTGTTGGAACTAGAGGAGATGTACAGCCTTTTCTGGCCATTGCAAAGAGACTACAGGCATGTCTGAATGTTTACATTTGATTAAACTGTTTGCTTGAAAGAATTGCATTGTCAAATCATATTATTGTTATCATTATTATTATCAGTGTTGTTGCTGTTGTTGTTATTAATTGTTTTTTGCCTGTCAAGTGGAACAAATGAATATCATGTGTTGACAGTAGAGGATTGAACTCTTTCTAAATAATAGAATCTCGTTTATGCATGTGTTTTCAAGACATGATTCTCTGATGTCCATTAGTGACAACTGTTTGCTCTGGATTTGGTTTTATTCACCTTGGTGTAAGTCACTTTCACAACTGATGATAGCTAAACTGTGATGGCCATTGGCTATAACATGTGTCTTCTTATTCCAGGATTTCTTTTATTTCTTGTTTGAAGGTAGGAATTGATTCTGGTCTTCCGTTTACTTCAGTAGTGAAATCTGAAGTCCCAAAGTTAATTCATACTGATATGCATGATCTTGCAGTTTGATGGGGAACTTTCAAGAAAGGGTCAGGGTTCATGTTAGGGGGCCTGAATTTATCCGTGCCAGGTCTTGGGTTGGTTAAAGCCCTGGCCCAACCTGGCTAATGTACCCTGTATTTGTTAATATCATTTGAGGCATTTCCTCTGACTTCTCCCTTTGACAAGTGCATTATTTGCAAGTTTTTGTGCGGATAATGCAGTCTGTTAAATAGTAATCAACACTCATCTTGTTATGCCACTCTCTTCTTTGTATGGATTTAGTGCCTGTAGTTGTTTAATTGCCTTGACTTGTCATCTGGAAATCACTCATACCTTAAAAATAATTCGTAGTTCAATTATTTCTGTCACAGAAGCCGTAGAATGTTCAAATATCTTGAGTTAGATTCATTTTCATGTTGTAGAGATCTAACCTGTACATCTTGATTGTTGTCATAAGTACATTATCAATCTATTCATACGATGCCAAATCTTGATCTTCCAGAGTATCCCAAAACAACAACAACTACAGTAATAGTAATAGTAACAGTAATAATCATCTTGATCTTCCAGCTAATATATTCTACCTGCCAAATATTATATTTGTTGAATGTCACTTTCTTTAATTATTTGATTTATTATCAGTGATGATTTGATGTTTGCATGCAGGAGTACGGTCATCATGTTAGGTTAGCATCTCATGCTAATTTTAACACATTTGTAAAGTCAGCTGGCATAGATTTCTATCCTTTGGGTGGTGATCCTCGAGTTTTGGCTGGATGTAAGAGGTCCCCAAGTCTAACTATTAATTGTGTCATACCTAAAAGTTCTTATCACGCAGTTTTTGCATATCGTAACTTGGATATGTAGAAATCTCTACAGAGTTCCCTCCCTTTGATTCACCTATTGGATTTGGCCCGCCAAAAACATGCCAGAATGCACTTTTATCCTTTTGGTGAATGGACGATTTTAATTTTCTTTGGAGCCTGGTTTTGGCAATACCGTCTTCAAAAGTTTCTTTGAAAGCTTTGTCCAGTATTGAAACGTGAGATCTTGTTCTACGAACATACCTCTAGCTGTTAGATGTCAATAGGTTTAAGAATAAGGCACAATGATGGGAGTTTGGTATGACATTACTTATCATTTCCCAACTTGCTGGCCTAGAGCTGCATATGAACATTAAACATATCTGAAAGGAAAATATATTTCATTGGATAATCGACATGGGATATTAGCTCCAGGACCATGAACTTCAAAAGGTCAAGGATTCTTTTCATAGCATCTTAAACAACCAATTTTGAATCATAAAATGGGGAAATTTTGATAGGAAAAAGAGGGGAGTTGAAGGATCAATACATATTGAACCTCTGCAAAGGAGATAAATGTTACCTTAGGTCTAACACGAAATAGTTTTAATTCTTTTAGTGTAAGGAACATGCTTTACCCTTAGTGAACATAATTCAAATAAAAACTTCTGCTTGCCTAAACCTGTAATTACTGAAGCTGTATATATCAACATAGAAGCCATTAATTCTTGTGACCATATTACATCTCTAATGTTGATTTGTAAAATTAATTTAGAATTATATCAATATATTTCACATTACATTCTCCTTCTTATTATACTAATGCTGAAGCTCTACATAACTTGCCCACATATTTATCAAGCTCATGCACTCAATGACTGATCTATAAGACTTTCAAAATTGCAGTCTTTCGGTAACTCATGACTCTGTAATTTTCATTTGAAAAATATTGCAATGATTAATTGCTTAACTCTGTTTTAATCTTACGCTCATTTCCCTCAATTCATTGTAAACTTGTTATATTGAATCAGTTATTTCAATTTGTAGATATGGTAAGAAATAAAGGTCTAATCCCATCAGGACCATCAGAAGTATCCACTCAAAGAAAGCAGCTGAAGGTCATTATTGAATCTCTTCTCCCAGCATGCACAGCACCTGATTTGGAAAGTGGTGTTCCTTTCAGAGCTCAGGCTATTATTGCCAATCCTCCTGCCTATGGTGAGTGGTTACAAGCTCAGTGAGTTTTGTGATTCTTACGCTCAATTTAAGCATATAAATTTAATAAGCTAATCTGATTATGTTCTCAATACCTATGATGTTAGATGGTTGTACTTTTTTTTTTTGGTTTTTTGTTTTTGTTTTTGGTCTTTCAAATTGTCCTCTGTTTGATATGTAGAACTCAGTTTAGCTAACATCTATAGGTTTACAAATGATCTCATCAAATTTTTTTACTTTTATCAAACTAGTTCAAAAGAAATTCATTCTAGAAATACAAGTCTACTTTCATTAAAAAGAAAAAAGAAAAAGAAATGCAAGTCTACTTTTGCTACATGACATGCATGCACTAAAGTGCATTGGTATATTTCACATTCATGCATGTGAAATTTTAAATGGTTATGTCACTAATCTGTTTCTGTTTTAACTGTTAATGCTTACATTTTGGAAGTTGGAGATATATATATTTTTAAGAAAAGACAAATTGGAAACACAGGAAAAAAATGAAAGTGGGAAACTGTGCAACTTATCATGAAAATGGGAAGGGACGGTTAGAAATAAGAAGATGGAAAGAAAATTAGCGATGTCCCATTGAATAATTACACAGCAATTATAAATGGAGGCCGGTATTTAGAGTGTGCAGCTTAGTTGGAAAGCAGGGGAATAGGGATTTTGTGATGATCAAGAACTTGAGGGGTGGTAACTCTTAGTTGGGAGGAAATTGGTTAAAAATTGTGAGAAGAAATTGAGAGAAATTTGATAAAATCGAATATTTGGGGATTTTGTTATGACCCCATTGCATGGTATGGGATTTGAGTCTTAAATCGGAAGTGTGAGATCATAATGTGGGGTTCATAAAAACCTTGGGCTCTCCAGCCTCAAGAGGTGACTTTGTGGATAAGGCATTTCCAAATGTTCATATCAATAGTAATTAAACCTTCCACTGCCATTCGTCCTTCTCTCTTTTCCTTTCCACTGTTATATGGGATGGATGGGCTGGGTAGCATGGCGAAGTATCATGAGGTAGTTACAAAATATGTAACTGGAGTCCCACAAAAGTAGTATAGGCTGTTGATATGGGTCTTGTATCCTTGGCTTCCAATGATGGAAAAAAGTGTTGAACATGTACGTGGGAAAAATATGGGAAATTTGGGCCACATAAATAAGTATTGACATTAGTGGATGAATTGCACTTACTTTGTGAAGGATATTGATAGAAATATATCTTCTGTTTGTTTTGCAGGACATGTACATGTTGCTGAAGCCCTTGGGGTGCCCCTTCACATCTTCTTCACTATGCCTTGGACGTGAGTCAATATTGTAATATTACTTTAGTGAAAATTATGATTATAAAAGACCTCTTAGCTTAAAGATATGGTGTTACCAAGAAATAAACAACTAATTATTGGCTTGAAATGTTCATACAGTACAGATAACTGAGTAAAGGAATAACTGCAGCTTTGGATATTCTACTAAATGCCTCATTTTCCAAGCGAATTGTTTTTCATTATTCAATTGTAATTTTGTGCAATGTACCAATTTTCCATCCCAAACATGACCTGGAAAGTTCAGTGTTGTGTTTCTCCTTGTGTACTTATTCTTTTGTAACTGTGGCTAGATTTATGCATGCTAAATACTCCTAATTGTAAATAGTCGAACATTTTCTTTCTTATTAGGATTGGATTAGAATCTTTTTTGAATATATAAGATTATAATCAAATTAGAAGCTGATTCGGAGGATAGTTTACGGATTATTACCTTTCTGTAATTTTGCATCCTGTCTGTGTATACATCACAGTTATCTGTACAGACTTTGACAATCAATGAAATTGGTACAATAGCCCTCACAGCTTCGACTCCATTTTTCTCGTTGCTTAATTGGATACCTTTTGGTATCTTGTCTTACATATTTTTTTTCAATAGGCAGGCCAACATATGAGTTCCCTCACCCTTTGGCACGTGTTCCTCAGAGTGCTGGTTATTGGGTATGTCCTTTTTGAAAATTTTTGGTAATTAGTTTATTAGTATGAAAGAACTGCAGAATTACATTGACCATTAAATCTGTTTTTATTTTGTCTGGATCCAGCTGTCCTACGTTGTTGTAGAGCTAATGATGTGGTGGGGGATGAGAGGAATTATCAATGACTTCAGGAAACGGACATTGAAGCTTGCTCCTATCGCATACTTCAGTATGTACCGTGGATCGATATCTCATTTACCAACTAGCTATATGTGGAGTTCTCATGTTGTTCCAAAGCCAAATGGTATGGACAAGGATGCAATTAATCGTTGATTATAATATAAAGTTCCTTCACTTTGGAATTTCTCAAGTAATGCTTTTTGTAGGAGAACACAATGATTATGCTCTGGTTCAAATTAGATCCTACTCAATACTAAGTTGTCTATGCTTAATGAGAGTTGTGAACAATAAATGTTTCGAAATGTTTGGCAGACACGTTTTGCTTAAATCTGTCTCAATATTAGGAATAACAACATTTAATTTTTTTTGCAGACTGGGGCGCTTTAGTTGATGTTGTTGGTTATTGTTTCATAAACCTTGGATCAGAGTACCAACCACGGGATGATTTTGTCCAATGGATTGAAAAGGGACTAAAACCCATATATTTTGGGTTTGGGAGCATGGTATGGCAAATTTATTTAGCTATGCTTATATCTATCTTATTTGGCTGGTTATTCTTCATTTTATAGCATATAAAATATGCTAGCCCTTTATGAGCTTGTGATTGTTGGTATTCAATACTTCCTGAAATGTCAAACCTTTATCTCCTGCGAATGAAGCATGGATGATATTTTGCTCTCTGTTAAAAATGAAAAGATTTATAAATGACGCTCAATATACTCAGCATACCTGATGCTTAAGAATGCAATAATATTGTCTTTATCCATTAATTGCTTTGACTGTTATACAACTTAATATAGCTCTTTTAGCTGAATAATTGTTGCTGTAATTGATCATCAGATATTCTTTGATAAGTTATGCTTGAATTATATGTTACTTATGTAGGAATTCATTGACATAATGTTAACTGCATGTTTGGCAGTACTACTCGGGAGGAAGTTGTCTTTTTTTTTTTTTTTTCCTCCCTTTAAATACCTATTTGGAGAGTTAAAGAAGTTTTAACCAAGCTTCTGGGGAAAAAACTGTTTTGAGTGGTAACATGAGCGGTTTTTCTGCTCCATGAAGCATATAAATTGAATGTTCTCCTACACTAGCAGAGGTGGGAAATTATTTTTTAAAGACAATCTTTATCCCACTCAATCACTATTCCATCATACCTTTGTTATAACGTCAAATCTGTGCATGTACTTTTTTCTGTAATTTGGTAGTTAAAAGCATTTTCTTGAAAGATTGTAATGTGTCCCAAACCAGAATCACAGCGAAGAGTAATAAATAAGACAGCAACAGCAATTAATATGAGAGGAAAATATTTAGGTTTTGATATTAATGAGATGAATAACCGAATCAGATGTACATGGGAACTCTGATTCTGGCCCAAAACCCTATTTCCCCTAGAAGATGATAAAACACTCTAGCAACACAGATTACAAGCTTCCATACAAGAGTCTCACTCCCATTGGCATTCGAGAGGCCAATCTCTCCTTACTATTCCAGTCTCCTTCTTCTTCTCAGCCCTCCCTTCCTAAACAAAAGACTACTAATACCTTCAGTGACTGACACATCGCCCATACTACCCAAAAGATCCCAATCATTATAAAAGATCACAAAATACTGTTCCTTACGGCTATGGACTGAAGGGTAAACTTCTAGACTGGTTCATGTATTTCCACTAGAGTTATTCTTCCCCTTTGACTTCCTCTGATATGTCTTAAGAAAATAACGGGCCCTATCATCACCCTCCCCTAAGAGCTCCACCTTGTCCTCAAGGGGAAAAGTTGGAAACTGTGTGCAAATTGTTTCTGCACATTCCCAAGAGTTCTCAAATTCAGGTAAGCCTTGCCATTTAACCAACACTTCTCGCTGTCCATTCATAAGCCGGCGCACCTTCCTAATATCTTGAGGCTGCACTTGTAATTCAAACTCATTAGAAAGCATCGGAGGGATGGTAGGCTGTGCCATAGCAGCTGAAACCGTTTGCTTGAGCTGAGAAACATGAAATACAGGGTGAATGCGCGCGGTGGTTGGAAGTTCCAGCTTGTAGGCCACTGTTCCGATCTTCTCAAGAACCTTGAAAGGTCCATAAAAACGTGGGCTGAGCTTCTCATTGCTCCTCTTGGCTAAGGTCTTTAGTCGATAAGGGCGAAGCTTCACATAAACAAAGTCCCCAATCTCAAATTGCACGTCCCGGCGATGCTTATCAGCTTGCGCCTTCATTTTACTTTGAGCCTTAGCTAAATTGTCCCTTAGTTGTTCAATGATCTGATTTCGAGCTTGAATCTGTTCATTCACATCTTCCACAACTGACGGTTCGCCACTAAATTTCAGAAATGTGGGTGGATCCCGGCCATATACCGCCTTGAAAGGTGTCATGCCAGCCGCACTGTGGAATGAAGTATTGTACCAATATTCCGCCCAAGACAACCATTTAGCCCATTGAGTTGGTTTTTCATTAGCAAAATAGCGCAAGTAAGTCTCCAAACTCCTATTTAATACTTCCGTCTGTCCATCCGTTTCCGGATGATACGATGAGCTAAGGCAAAGTTGGGTTCCAGCTTGCTTGAACAATTCTTGCCAAAATTGGCTAATAAAAATTCTGTCTCGATCTGAAACTATGGTTTTAGGGAAACCATGCAACTTCACAACCTCATTCACAAACTTTTCAGCAACATCCTTTGCAGAAAAAGGGTGGGCAAGAGTGAAAAAATGAGCATATTTGGTGAGTCTATCCACTACCACTAGAATGGTGTCGTACCTTTTTGATTTAGGAAGCCCGGTAATGAAATCCATGCTAATGTCTTCCCAAATGTTTTGAGGAATGGTCAACGGCTGTAACAGACCAGCAGGAGTTAGCGCTTGATATTTATTCTTTTGACAAATCTCACAACTCGCCACATATTGCTGAACATCCCTTTTAATTCCTTCCCAATACACCACATTGGATAGCCTCTTGTAGGTGCGTAAGTAGCCCGAATGCCCCCCTATTGGAGAATCATGATATTCCTTCAATAACAAGGGAATTCTGGTGGAATTTTTTGGTAAGACTAACCTCTCTTTATAGTGTAGGCAGCCATGAACTAAGCTGTACCCTTCCACCCCAGTTTTATCAGTTAGGAGTTGCTGTAGAATTTTGCTCAGTTTCGGGTCTGCTTGCACCTCCTTCTCCCATTCTTCCACATCATTATATTGCCATAATGAGAACCCCATTAGTTCTAGTGATTCTTCTCGTCTGGATAGGGCATCAGCAGCCCTATTCTCTTTTCCGGGCTTGTAAATACTCAAACTTGAAGCCCATTAATTTTGACACCCATTTCTGCTGGTTCTCATCAACCACTCTCTGCTCCAGCAAGTACTTTAGTGCTTTTTGATCTGTACGGATGATAAATTTATGCCCCCAAAGGTAATGGCGCCATTTTTTAACTGCCATAACAATAGCCATGAGCTCTCTTTCATAAATAGAGCATTGTTGGGCTCTATGTGAGAGCTTTTGGCTAAAATATGCCACTGGTCTGCCTTGTTGCATCAAAACTGCCCCTATTCCGGTACCAGACGCATCAGTCTCAAGCTCAAAAGGAATGGTAAAATCGGGCATTGCGAGCACTGGTAGTGAAGTCATGGCAGTTTTGAGCTGTTCAAATGCCTTTTCCGCTTCCACTGACCACTTGAAAGAATCCTTTTTAAGTAAATCAGTAAGGGGGCTAGCAATCTTCCCATAGTTCTTGACAAATCGACGATAATACCCGGTCAGCCCAAGGAAACCCCTCAAAGACTTCACATTCTTAGGCTTTGGCCATTTCATCATGCTCTCTATCTTAGCAGGATCAGCTTGAACTCCTTCTCTTGATATCAGATGCCCCAAGTATTCAATCTTGGGTTGTACGAAACTACATTTCTTCAAATTAATCACAAGCTGATTTTCCTTTAAGATAGCAAATACATTCTCCAAATGCTTTAAATGAGTGGTTAAGTCATCACTATATATGAGAATGTCATCAAAAAATACCAATACAAACTTGCGTAAATACTCCCTGAATACCTCATTCATCAAGGATTGGAATGTTGAGGGAGCGTTGGTTAATCCAAAGGGCATCACCTTGAACTCATAATGTCCTTCATGTGTTCTGAATGCTGTTTTGTGTTCATCCCCAGCCTTAATCCGAATTTGGTGGTATCCAGACTTCAAATCCAGCTTAGAGAAAATTTTGGCTCCCTTCAATTCATCCAAGAGTTCATCTATGGCTGGAATAGGAAATTTATCCGGGATTGTAATTTTGTTTAAGGCCCTATAATCAACACAAAACCTCCAACTTCCATCTTTCTTCTTGACCAACAACACTGGACTTGAGTAGGGGCTGTTGCTTGGCTGAATAATTCCAGCCTGTAACATGTCCTTCACCAAACCTTCTATTTCGTTTTTTTGCATATGGGGGTATCGATAGGGCCTTATGTTCGGTGGCTGCTCTCCAGGTTTAATAAGAATAGCATGATCTTGTGGACGGGCTGGAGGCAGGCCTTCAATAACTTGGTAGACAGTAGGATATTTCTCCAATAACTCCTGAATTTCAGGAGAGAAAATGAAAGTACTTTCATTGCTGCCCGTGAGCCCACTATATTCAATTAGAAACCCCTCTCCTTTCTTTCCTACAGAGTGAATTAGTGACCTGAAAGTAGCTTGAGCCCGAGTGAGAGATGGATCACCCTATAAGCAAATTCTCTTTTCTTTCTTGCCAATCTTCATTGTTAACTCGCTCCAATTGACCTTCACATCCCCCAGGGATTTCAACCACTCCATTCCCAAGACTGCATCAACCCCTTTCAACGTGAAAGGATAGAAGGTTTGAATGATTTGGTACCCCTGGACACTCAAACAGAGGTCCTTACACCTTTTCCTCCCTTTTACAACAAACCCATCACCCACTGTAACTGTATATTCAGAAATCTCATCAAAAGGTAATTTCAATTTACTCTGCAGATTTTCAGCTATGAAGTTATGGGTAGCGCCACTGTCAATCAGAATTATCACTTCAGTGCCTCCGATCCTCCCTTTAACCTTCATAGTGTGATTATCGCCGAATCCTCCCATGGAATTGAGAGATAATTCCATCTGTGCCCCTTCATCAGCATTTTCGAATTCCCCTCCTTCAAGTTCAGCCTCTGCGTCATCTTCCTCTCTCTCCTTTTCTGCCCCCATCTCCATTATCAGTACCTGAAGGTTCTTGTTTTTGCACTGGTGGGTCGGGCTGTATTTATCTCCACACTTGAAACACAGTCCTAACTCACGTCGCCTTGCAATCTCAGCGTCAGAAAGTCGTCGTGAGTTTCCCGTCCTCTTCGTCGACGATCCCCAATTCGAAATGCTCGCAGCCTTGGAATGCTCTGTTTTCGTATCCGTTTTCTTCGAATTTTCGGCAGCTGAAGACGTTGCAGTGTGCGTGTTGCGATTCCCTTCAGTCACGTGCGCAACTCGTGTGGAATAAATGGGTTGAAGCGTTTTGGGTTTGGGCCCAAATTGAGGACGTTGGGTTCGGGTGATCCGGGTTTCTCTACAATCTCCAAGTATCCGATTCCTCTCCTCTATACACACCGCCATCTCCATCAGCTCTCGCAGTGTCGGAGTTTTCGTTAACTTCAACTCAGCTCTGATCTCTGGTTTTAACCCAGAACGGAACGCACCGATCAAGCATTCTTCAGAGGCCTCCTTCAGCGGCGCAGATAAGAGCTCGAATTCTTCAACAAATTCCAGCACCGTCCTGTCCTGTTTGGATGTGAACAATCGCTCATATTCCCCCCCTGGCTGAGAAGAGTGAAACCTGCGTAGCAGCTCACTCTTGAACTCCGTCCAGTGACTCAGAGGTATCCTGGTCTCCAGCCATTGGCACCAGTTTAATGCCTTTCCCTCAAGACATACCACCACAGCCTCAAGCTTATCTCGTTCTGCAATGGAGTTAACATGGAAATATCTCTCCACCCGAAAAAGCCATCCTAGCGGGTCCTCGCCTGAAAAAACAGGTAATTCTAACTTTCTATATTTTCTTCCGTCTGTATCACCGCCTGGGTTGCTCACCGAAACCTCCTCATGACCTTCCTGTTCGTTTGCATGTGGCTCGGTTATCTTCTTCTCTATTTGCACCAAGGCATCATTAATAGTCTTCAATGTTTCTTTAATACCGTTTACATCTCGGGTCAATACCCCAACCGTTTCCTTCAGTTCCTGTACCTCCAGATCAGCATACTGGACCCTTTCCGCCATATCTCCTTACACACTACACCCAGAGATTGTACCTGCTCTGATACCAAATAATGTGTCCCAAACCAGAATCACAGCGAAGAGTAATAAATAAGACAGCAACAGCAATTAATATGAGAGGAAAATACTTAGGTTTTGATATTAATGAGATGAATAACCGAATCAGATGTACATGGGAACTCTGATTCTGGCCCAAAACCCTATTTCCCCTAGAAGATGATAAAACACTCTAGCAACACAGATTACAAGCTTCCATACAAGAGTCTCACTCCCATTGGCATTCGAGAGGCCAATCTCTCCTTACTATTCCAGTCTCCTTCTTCTTCTCAGCCCTCCCTTCCTAAACAAAAGACTACTAATACCTTCAGTGACTGACACATCGCCCATACTACCCAAAAGATCCCAATCATTATAAAAGATCACAAAATACTGTTCCTTACGGCTATGGACTGAAGGGTAAACTTCTAGACTGGTTCATGTATTTTCACTAGAGTTATTCTTCCCCTTTGACTTCCTCTGATATGTCTTAAGAAAATAACGGGCCCTATCAGATTGCTTATCAAATATTGATGAAATTAATTATCAAACAATGTTGATAAACTTGAACTGCTTTTCATCCAAAGTACTTCTAAAACTCCATTTGGTAAGTAGTTGTTTAGAAAAAAAAGAAGTGGAAAATCAGAGCAATCCTGAACTGGCCTCGAGTTTCTTTAGGTAACATCTTCACAATCTGAGCTGCACAGTATTTTATAACCGCATTGTGCACGCACGTGTCATTGACAATGGAAAGGGGAATAAAACCACAAGATCTGTGAGGCTCTGATCAGACATGATCTGGGCTAAGCTGCACCTACAGCATCTTCATCTCAAATGGTGACTCAAAATGATGAATTTCGAGCTCATGATTACACGCATGGTTCACGTTGAAGTTTACACATTTGTTACGTTCATGATAGACATGCTTAATCATGACCCTCCATTGTTCATAAATCTCTGCTTGATGCTTTACAAGATAATCTCTAAAGTTCTTTCTAATCATCTAAACCACTTCTGCCTGACCTCACTCTCCAAAACCAAGCCAGCTTCTTAACTAAAAGACATATTAAAGATATATCATTATTGCGCTAGAGTTGCTGCACTCATTGAGACTTAAAAGAAGTAAAAGTGGGTGATTGGCAACCAAGTTTGACCTCAAGAAAGGCACACTTGGGTTTGGCCATAATAAAACACATCTCTCTCTCACATAATGTTGATAGGCATGAAGCATGAGGCAGAAACTTAATGGGTGGATTGCTTGAACATTGTCATTGGTTGGTTCTATACTCTTGCTAGATTGGTGCTCTGTGTAATGCTTACGTCATGCAAAACGCCCAAGATTCCATAACAAACCTGCCAGAGGATTGAAAAGCTTATATATGACTTTATCTGGAATTCTTATCCAAATAAGGAAAACTAACTTGGGAAACTGGAAGGAATGCAGAATGTGGTGGTAATGACCTTGTTTGCTAGAATTGGTCTTTTTTTTGTTAAGAATTCAGTTCAACATAAATGCCCAGACCAATAAACCTTGGGCTAAAGTGATGAGAGATAAATATGGGTGGAGTGACAGGCTGAACATGCCTTTTAAAAGAGAAGTTTACATTTGTGTCATAGCCTTGCAAGTGTGTGAGATGAGCTCCAAATGAAGATTAAGTGCGAGGTGGGTGATGACAAGGACGCAAGATTTTGGGAAGATAATTGGGTTGGAGACTTGAGACCTTTAAATTTTCTTGGAATGAGGGGTGGGAATATTGAAGAAATTGACAAACCTAACACTGCTTTCAATGATGATCTAGGGTAGTGGCTTCGGGAATCCTTTGAAGATTCATTCCCTGTATCGATTATCCTTCCAGTAGCAAGTGTTGAACCTCCATGTAGTGAAGATGGATCCTCATTGTGCTATAGGAGCTGGTTGAGTAGCGGTGATTTTGTTGTCAAGACTACTTACAAGACCATTCAAATAAATGATGAAGATGATAAATGGGATCTGGTGTGGAAATGGCTGAGAGCTCAAAGAGTAAGACTTTCCCTTTAATTGGCTATGAAGGGCAAATTGGTAGCCAATAAAGAGAGGTGCAAAAGGAAGATGAAGATTGTGTGGTCAGGATGTTAAAGACATCATGCTTTAAGGACTGCTTATTTTCTAAAAGAATGCATTGAGGGACTGCATATTTGCTGAAAGAATTTGGTGATGGTTTGTGTCTACAAATTGTTAGGGAAAATTCTTTAGCTCCCATCACCAGGAGTAGCTTGTGTAGAACCTTGAAGGATGAAGACATGGTTGAATGGAAGATCACAACTAGGCCATCACCTTGAGTATCACATGATGGAAAATATTGAGTATTAGGAAAAAATACTTGCTTATCAGAGGATAATTTCTGTGTGGATGAAGCGGTTCAACACATTCTCAGTATGAGGGAGAGCGTTTAAAAAGGCTAGGGTTGTTTTGTGCTCATTAATTACATTATATTCAGAAGCTCTTCAGTGCAGGCTCTTCATGACAGTTCAGGGAACTGAATTGAATTTTCTGTTGCGATTCAGGAAACTGAATTTTCTGGACCTTTCAAAACTGTTCTCTTTTTACGCTACAGAATTTTTTCCCCCATTTTTGTCCTATTTTTCTGAGAGCCTAACCCCATCATCTGATGTGGCCCCGAATTGCAATCATAATTTAATTAAACTATATTACAAAGGAATAAACGTTAAAATAAAAAGTTTAGATAATTTTTATGATTAATGCACTAGGGACATGCATGTCGTGTTGATCTATTCATCAAATTTGAATTCATACTAGAATCAGTTTACTCTAATGGCATACTTGTCACAAGTAAAGCTTGCTTTTGAAGGTATGCTTAGCTCCTGCGAATTTTCGCATTCTATGCTTTGACAATGCTTGACATTTGTAGGCAGTTTTGGAAATATTCTAAATGAGAACTTTATGTTTTACTTTATTAGCCTCTTGAAGATTCCAAAAAAACGACCAATGTTATATTGGAGGCACTGAAGGATACAGAACAACGGGGTATCATTGATCGAGGTTGGGGAAATCTTGGGAATTGTAAGTGTATATCTTCATCTTTACATGATACTGGCCTCCTCTATTCCAAAATCCAGAGGCTTATTTATTGGGATATCATGTAGTTATTTCAAATTTTATTTCTTCCTAAGTCATATTTGTCTATATCCAGTTAAATAATGTACAATGTACATAATGTGTATTACTGAGAGTCAATATAATGATTTCAAAAATTAGGTTCTATCTTATGTACTATGTCAATATTTCTAATTCCGGGTTTACATTATGCAGGATACCAGAGTTTCTGCTTCTTTATTTTCTGTAGTTATTTTATAGTATTTACAAGTTTTTTATGAATTCCATAACTGAATGTTGTCAATATCATTGAATTTTTCATTTGACAGTTTGCTCTCACTTTCACTTAACTTGAGGTGCCTTTTTTCTTTGTTGAAGGATAACTGATTTTGTGACGCTCCTTTTATTCTCTGAGTCTGGAATCTCCTGGGTTAGCATTTGAAATAACATGGACTGATATTGAACCTGTATATTTAGGATGTAATGAGTTAATAATCAGTTTACTGGATGATGAGGGGAACCTTTAAGGTCCAAGAAACACATCTTGTAGAGTTGCAAGAGTGATTCTGTGCATTGGAATGAGGAGTCTTATTTTATTAAATAGGCTACAAAAGTAGATCGATACTCTGAGAAAATAGTCTTGCTTGTGCTGGTATCTATTTTCTCCTACTTTCTAACATCTTTTGGTTTCATTGCATTGAGAGCTCTTGCTTTTGTTCTTCTTTTTGTTGTTTATCTATAATGAAAATTTTAACTCCTTTTTATTGTCATAAAGGAAATAGGATTTCCACTCTTTTCTATTACCATAAAAGTTGGGGAGTTGTAAAAGTTTCCCTTGAGAAAAGTCCAAGAAAACCGGAGGCCAACATTCCAAAATAACAAATTAAGAGTTTATTTAGAAAGGAAGAGCTTCTCAGGATTTTTTAGCGCATGTCCTGGTCAGTGTATTTCTTGCCAGTTGCTACATGTTTGTGTTTTGCTTTAAAAGAATTTGAGGTATTATGAACTGTGCCTATCAAAATACAAGGAAGGGAAAAGTTAACACCGAAGGAATGCAGTAAAGTAGAAGCAACCCAGTGACTGAATATTTCAGCTTTTATGGAGAAAATTCTGCTTTGATTATATTTATATCTTGTGTCAGCTGCTTGTATATTCAAGACTTCCTTTGACTAAATTTTCCGTTTTAGCATTAGCTAATGAAATGCCTTGACCAGTGTCACGGGTTTATTTTCCATTAGTAAATTGAGTCAATGATAACCATCCATTGAATTTCATTAATTCTGATGATGACTACCTTAAGAATTAAATAATTTGACTATTAATGACCAAAAAAAAATCGTCTATAAAAATTTTATGTGCAATACAATAAATACATATTTTGTTGCATGCATTTTAGAATATCAACATAGTTTCACGTGCATTATGATTTCCACCATGCAGTGGAGGAAGTTCCGGAGAATGTTTTCCTTCTAGAGGAATGTCCTCATGATTGGTTGTTTCCTCAATGTTCTGCCGTGGTGAGTTTCTGTTTGCTTTCTTATGGGTTTCTTTGGGGATGAAAGAAATGCTTTAGTTTGTGGCCGAGTTTGCATTCCCGACAAAATCTATAAGGGCCAGGGGGTGAATAAACAAACTACCAAAGGAAACTAACTGGAAGATATGTGGGTGCAAAATTGCAGGTGCATCATGGTGGTGCTGGAACCACAGCCACTGGATTAAAAGCCGGGGTAATGTTGTCTTTGTAAATCTTCTCTCTCTCTTTTTAATCTTTCTCATAATCCAAAAATCTGTTTGAATGTCTTGACTTGTACAAGACACTATTAAATAATAAAATATGAAATGTAATGCCCAGTTGATTCTTCTATCATTCGATGGGCTAGTCTATCCAATAACATCACTCACTAAATGCTTAACCCTCTCCTTACCCCATCCCCTACAATATTTAGCCAAATTGAGTCCCCCTCCCCCAAGTTTTTTGGGGATAGGCCAAGTAAGTTATTGGTGATTGCTTCTGCTGACATGATAAAGTGCTCATTAAAATAAATTGGTATTGATTTTTTTTTATTTAATGTAAAATCATGACAGTGTCCCACTGCCATAGTTCCATTCTTTGGAGATCAGTTTTTCTGGGGAGAACGAATATATGAGAAAGGATTGGGACCTGCCCCAATACCAATCTCTGAGCTCACTCGCGAGAACTTATCAAATGCCATAAAATTCATGCTCCAGCCAGAGGTAATTCTAATTCCATGCATACATTTTGGATTCCTTCCCACTATTCCCTGCTGGACATCTAGAGAATAATATGATTTATTTATAGAGGGCTACTCATTTATGAGCAAGTCATATTCATATCTGATTTGTATGAAATTTACGCGAACTTTATCTCCAACAGCTATGATATATGGCTTTCTATCGTAAAATGAATGTATACACCATAAGTGTTCTCTAATTATGGTATTCTCTATTCTGTATGTATCATTTTATGTCTCTTGCCATAGATGACTTCTGCAAAACCACTAGACATACACATGCAGAAGATGGCTATGTATTCTTTATATCAATTAGATCATAAATTTGAAGTATGACAAAAATGAATGTGTTCCTTCTTTTCGCCCCTGATATCTATTTTCAATAATTGTACTCCTCCACCTTCTATCGAGACTGCAATTGTGAAACTTGATAGTTTAGTGTTCAAGTGTATTGGTGCTCACATCTTGTGATATCTCTCCAATTATGCCCCACTCTAATAAATATGCTGTGCATAACTATGAAGACTCTTAGCATCATTGTAAAGAATCCTGGTCTTGTGAAGTATATCCAATTACTAGTGTAGTCCATGACATGAACACCATTAGTCTCAGATCATAATATGTAAAGGAATTTTAAATCTTCAGGTGAAATCTCGAGCAGTGGAAATAGCCAAATTGATTGAGAATGAGGATGGTGTTGGTGCTGCAGTGGATTCATTTCACCGTCATCTGCCTCCTGATTTACCGCTCCCAAGTCCATCGCCACCGGCGGAGAAGGACCAACCTTTTCCACTGCAGTGGTTTTTTCTTCAGGTCGCAAAATTGTGCTGTGTGCCTTGTGGTGGTATCTAGGCTTTTTGTATTTAACTTCAATCTTCTTTTCTTTATATATATAGAATAGAGGTTCCTTTTTTTTTTTTCCCTTCCTGAATTTAACAACATGGTAATTTGCTATGGTTTACCATTCATTTTAGTCAAGTATCAAACTCTTCGAGAGTTTGATTAATAATTCATATTGAAGATGTAGATTAGACTTGTATTCTACTTTGTGTATATAGGAGGTTTTGCTATTTTTGGGGCTTGTAATTGATATTTAATTATTATTATTATTATTTAGTAAAATAGGGTATGATCTTCCTTCAAGTAGTCAAAGGAAAACTCAAATAGCAAAAAGAGAAAAATAGTAATAACAAAAGGGGTGGCTTTTAAAAAAAAAATTATGTGCATAAAAATAATGAAACAATTCAAAACAAGTTTTGACTTACTCAATCATATCGACTCATATCCCTATATCTTTTATTTAAAAAATAATAAGAAGTAAAAATGATATTTAAATCAATATTTTTAAGAATAAAAATTATCTTTAGGTTTTTACGAAATAATAGGTTGTTACGATATTTTTTTCAAATCATTTTCAAGTATAACAACAAAAGGAAAAAAAAAAAAGAAAGAAAAGAAAACGGAAAAGGGGATAAATGAAAAGTAGCAAGGTAGGAATATATATGGACACAACAAGAAAGAAGAATCAATAATTATTAGAACATAATAAAACTAAAAATAGCAAAAGAGATCAAAATGTTGAAAACTTCGTTCTATTGGCTTTTCTAATGTCCTAGACGCGTGGAAGAAAAGATATATAGAGGGTAAGAGGCAAAGTCATAGACACAAATTATGATCTATCTCATATCCTTCTCAAAGTGTTCATGCTACTAGCAAGAAGGGATATTTGGCATCAACTTTCATTGATCAAACGTGAAGCTTTGTTGTGGAAGGAAAAAACTCAAGAGTCCAACATTGATGAGGGTGACGCATGATGAAGGGCTTGAATTGCATTCTCTCCCAACAAAGATAAAACTATTCCTCCACTGTTGCAAATTGTAACTAGTAAAGTACCCATGCACGGGCTATATGCAATAATTTTTTTAATAAATGGCATATTTATCATTTATGATGAACTCAAGTTTTTTTATAAATAAGTGTCATTCTTGTAGGAAGAGTTTTCTTGAAAGAATAACTTGTAACATACCATCTCTAATACTCCATATCATCCTAAATGTAGTTGGGCTATTTAATTGTCATTTTTAATTTTAAACATGCATGTTAGTATTAAGTCAATGTAAAAACTAAATTAATACAATGTGAATGGACACAATAACCATATTAACAAAAATTTATAATTAATTAGATTAAATTATCAAAAGGTTCCCTATAAATAACATTAGAAATTTTGTTTGTGGATTGACCATTCTCATCAAAAATCAATATTTTTAAACCTTCTCTATTTCGAATACGAGAAACAGCAATATATGATTGGCCGTGCATGAAAACAGGACAAGGCAAGTACAAACCGACATTACATAGGCTCTGGCCTTGACTTTTATTAATGGTCATTACAAAAGCCAACATAATAGGAAATTGCCTCCTTTTCATAGTAAATGGAACCCTAGGATCAAATGGACACATAACAATACAAGGTATACATGCTTTCATCCTTGTGGTTGACTCAAACTTTCTTGGGTTTCAATAATATGTTTTCTTGTTCTTGTAACTATGAGACGTGTACCATTGCACAATCTCATTTTCTTGTTCTTGTAACTATGAGACGTGTACCATTGCACAATCTCATAGACTTATCAATGTTTCGCATCAAGATAATTGGGACACCGACTTTCAATCTTATTTCATGATTCAGTAGTCTTGACATCGTAATTGAATTTAGAAAATCTGAAAAGTGTAAGTCATCAAGTGAATCATGTCCCTATCATCTTTTACAACATTATCAAAACTCAAGTATACAACTTCCTCTCCAAGGATCATGGATAACATATACTTGTTTATTTCTTCAACCACAGTCAATGTAAGGGCTAAGATAGCCCAATATCTAAAATATAAAGAATTATTGACATTGTTAAGGAAATTCATAAAAGTTGAATCAACAGTAGACTTTATTAGATTATCTGAACCATCTAATAACAAATTAGCTGGGATTTTAATATTCACAGATCCTTCATTAACTCCAGCAAAAGTCTCATCACTAATTGAGATTATCCAGTCAACAAAATCTTGAATATCACTATTGGATGCCATATTATTTGTTGCCATAAGTCTCATGTTTCTTATTAGTGTAAGAAATTGACAATTATCCCATGTGTACGAAGAGTTAATGGTAGCAAAAACAATCTTTTTGCTAGATCCACCTGGAATAACAGGAAGGATCTGCCTAAAGTCTTCACCAAGCACAACAACTTTTCCTCCAGATGGAAGATTGGTAGCCAATAGGTTACTAAACTTTAGAATATCTTTTAAGCATTTATCAGGAGCTTCAAAACAAAACTTGTGTGCCATCATCCCATATAATTAACGACGTGTGAACTAATAATTCAGCTAAGTTACTTCCTTATTTTATGCTACATATAGTGTCTTTTATCACAGAAAGTGGAATATAAAATTGTGAGTGAGTTGTTTGTCCTCCTAGAAGCAATAAACAAACTATCTCGCTTGATGCTACATTGAGAACAATTTTATATCTAGATCTTAATGAAGCAGACAGTGTCTTCTAAACATACATTTTCCCAATACCACCATATCCGTAGAGGAAAAACTCCTCATTTGTTAGATGCAATAGCACTAATGATTTTATCATAAATTGTCTTTTGCTTAAGTGTTAGTGTTTGCAGCAACCTTGCCAATTTAGTAGACAACGTAACCTTATCATAATTTAGTTCATTTCTTATTAGCTTGTTTTTACTTGCATTCAAGCTTGACATGTCAGGTAAAGGCATAGGCTTATAATCTGTGAGACTTTTCCCATTAGATTGAAGTAATTTCTCAATCTTAATCAATGTAAAGTTGTATAAATCAGCATCATCTAATTGTAATACTGTGAAAATAATGTTGTTACATCAGCAATGCTGTCCAATAATTTATATAAACTCTATTGATATTATTAGATTGTAGAAAAAATTAAAGAATGCAAATGCAAATGTCTTCATCCAAGTGATTACTTGACGCCTCAAGACTAAAAATAAAATAAGATTATATTTGTATAACTTGCTTATCAAAACCATAATCATAACCCACTGGCAGTAGTATAAACATGACATAACATACTAAAACAAAATTTGATAGTATGACAGACTCACCTAGAAATAAAACTAGAGACCTCTAGAATTGAAGGGTGTACAAAAACTCACAAGCAATACATTGTGCTAGAAAGCCTCCTCATTTCTATGTAAGAATCAAAACATTTAGAGAGAATGCATATATAATTGAATCAATATCGTTCAGACATTTATGTGAGGTAACATACTGTTGAACTCCCTAATCTTAAACCACTACAATATGATAACAATTGGCTTTTTTAGTGCCTCCTCTGTCAAGTTTAGTATATCATCTGCAAAGGCCCCCCACAAAGTACAACTCACCTTGTTTTTCTATAATGATAAGAATAGTATCAAATGAATTTTGATCACAGGCACCAAAAATTAAATAAGGTTTCAAGTATATTAATTGATAAAGTTTGTGTCATATTACTCTACATCTTCTAGGCTTATTTCTATCTGTTTTTGTTCTTTCCCATTCTTAATCGGCTCCTCCAATTCTCCAATTCCAGATAATCTTCCAATCACATCTGTTGTGAAAAAAAGTATACCATTTAATCACATGTCATTAAGAAAAATAGACCATTTAAGATTAAGATAGATAAAAATAGATAATTTAAATTTGATAATTGCCCTACTTTTATTTGATTGGTGAGTTTTTTCCCCTAAAAGCAATGAGATTTTCAATAGAAAAAAAAGGAATAAAAAAGGACAATATCAAATAGAGTTTTTGAAGAAAAAATTTAAAAAGTTTAAATATATACTAATTAAGTAATTATCATTCATTTCCTCCGTATCTACAATATCTAAAATATTAATAAAATTGAACTCAAAACAATGGATAGAACCTGTCTCAGGACACAACTTCACAGTAGTAGAGAACAACACGAACATGACAGATCCAATCACATTGTTTGACTTTCACAAATATTTTTTATGCAAGGTTAATTTAATAATATCAACTGATACTATTAGAGTTGTCTAACAAATAATGATTTCATGAATTGCATGTGCTGTTGGAAACATTGTATCAACATAATTGAAACAAAGAGCAGAAATCATATTCAACACATTTTTTTTATTAAAAAAAGCACAAATTATTGATAAATAATGCATAGCATTGAGAGACCCTCAATTTTGAAATCATTATATATTTTAAAGAGATGTAACCTACAACAATATTGTCCCATAAATAGGATAAATATTATATATTAGACATAATTAGGGGGATCCAAAAAAACAAAATATATAAACACTTACTCTAACATCCTAGGAGACCAATTCAACACCATTGGATTCTTCGGATATATTTCTACCTGACAATCTCCAAATATGAATCACTCTAACCATAATTCGCCAATTTTTTTTTGTTGTGTTGATAGCACAAATAGCATAGATCTCAGAAGTAGAAGCCATGGATAATATGAATAATAGTGGAGAGGAAAATGAACTTAATACAATTAATTAGAGGAGTGATTCAAACATGCAGTTGTGAAATGTGATATTAGCCTAACCTAGTAATTTATAATTGAATAAGGATGATTTGGGAGGAAAAATTAAGAGATGATTTTAAAAAAATCAAAATGATATATATTAAAAATTATTTTATTTAGTGTAGATATTTAAGGAATTTGAATTTTGCCAAACTTAATATAAGAAATTAATATATTGAGTTCCAAAGTTAATCTAAATAAACATGTCTTAAAAAAAAAAAAAAACACACACACACACACAGACACCTCGAAACTCCTTCATGACATTTTTTTTAATTTTAAATAGGTAAAAATAGGTTTTTTGAGATTCATAGAATTATGAGTGTTGAGTTTAGCTATAATAATTTGGAATATATTATGTCAAATTCCATATATTAATAAATGTCATATTTATAATCTTTGAGGTTCATAAGGATAGATTTAAATAGTAAAAACAAATATTTAATTTTTAATTTAAATAGATATGTATTAATTTAAATTTGAATCTAGCTATATATATATATATATATATGTGCATACAAATACACTATATATTATGAACCTAATAAACATATAATTTTGTGTGTGTGAGCACGCGCGCGCGTGTGTACGTGCGTGCATTTGCGTGCGCACGCGTGTGCGCGTGTGAAATTATGAACGTTGAGTTTAGCTTTAATAATTGTGAATATATTATGCCAAATTTCATATATTAATAAAAATCATATTTATAATTTTTGAGATTCATCTGGATAGATTTAATAGTAAAATAAATTTTTAATTTATAATTTAAATAGATATGTATTAATTTAAATTTAAATTTCAATATATATATATATATATATATAATTATATATATCTGCATACAAATACCCTAAATATTATGAATCTAAAATTTTGCCATATATTTAGGTTAGATAGAGTGTTTAACTAATAGATATTAATTTAAATACAAATATAATCAAATTTGAATTTCAAATAGGTAAAAATAGATTTTTAAACATATAGTAATATTTTTTATAAATATTTAAATAGATATATATTAATATAAATTTTAATCCTAATATGTGTGTATATATATATATATGTAGTAAATATATACACAGAATTATGAGTGTTGAGTTTAGCTATAATAATTTGGAATATGTTATGTCAAATTTCATTTATTAATAAAAATGATATTTATAATTTTTGAAATTTACGAGGAGGATAGATTTAAATAGTAAAAAAAATATTTAATTTTTAATTTAAACATATATGTATTAATTTAAATTTGAATCTCAATATATATATATATATATCTACATATAAATACCCTAAATATTATGAACTAAAAATTTAGTCATATATTTAGGTTGGATAGAGTTATTAAATAGATAGATACACCTAACTCCAAACCTAAATAATATATTTTATATTTTTCAAAAAATAATAAAACTTCCCTAACTTAACTCCAAACCTGACTCTAAAGTATAGAATCATACAAAAAGGCATCTCGAAGCATAGAAATGTAGCAAACCTAAAATTGGACGCGTAACATTCTTTTATAGCTTTAAACCCTACTTTTATATATATAATGATGATTTCATTCTTTTTCCTTATTTATCAAGTTTATGATGCAGTTTAAATGACTTCATTTCTTTAGAGAGAGAGAGAGAGAGAGAGAGACAAAATGTTGAAATTTTTGGGAATTATTTTATTAGAATATTTGTTAGTTGTGAATTTTCATTAATACATTATTTTATTAAAATGCACCCATTTAATTTGCATACTCCCTATAAACCATAATATAAGTTGTTTTTAGAAGTTTTATTTAATCCAAAATTTAGGTCATTTGGTAGGTGTTTTATATTTTTTTCCAGTTATACCCTTATTTATTAAATAATTGATAAGGATATTTTGAATAAGTCAAATGTCATATTAATGAATCTCAAGGGTATGATTGAAAATATGTGAAAATTTTTAAAAAATCAAGATTCCAACTAATTATTTTTTTAGATATATTAATTAGCTAACAATGACTTGTATTGTGGTTTAGAGAGAGTAATTATTTAGATACTTTGTCACATGTGGTATTAAAACTAGTCTTTAATTCTGCATTCTGATATCACGTGTTATATAATATTTCAATCCCTACTCAATTTATTTTATATAATTATTGAGATAATTTGTAACATATCTCCCATATATTCAATAGTATTAGTTATTTGATGTATAGTTATTTCTTTTTCAGTTTCATATACAAGAAAACTCACTTCAATTCTAGGGTCAACATATCATATATGTTATTTAGTTTTACCTTTTAAGATTACCTATAAATTATACGAGAGGCGTGAAGTCTCAATAATCCTAAATACCAATTTTAAAAAAGGGCAAATAGACAAAAACACTCATAAAGTTTTCCTCTAAGAGGACTCAATATCCTTAAGTGAAGAAAGGTGCAAGAGTGACCTGGCTATTGAATTGCTTAAACATTCATTATATTTTGATGTTAAATGCTGATTGTGCTTGTCAGCTGGTAAAATTGAAAAAGCTGAGTATGCTTACATGGAAGGTATGAAGATCCAATCTCCTCCATCTTCTTCATCCTCTTCCCCCTCTATTGCCTCATATTCTACAATCTCTTTGCCCGACAAGCCTCATGGCCATATGTTGGTCCTAACTTGACCCATATCCAAACCTATAGTCGCTTCGTCATAGCATTCGCCTTCTATTTAATCCCAAAAACACCAACATCAACAACCTAAGCAGACCTAACAAGCCTTAGATCAACCAT